TTCCAAGGGAAAATATAGGAGTTGCCCTCACCGACTGAGGGAGTGTTCAGTACAGTGATTAAAGGCATGGGTTTGGCAAATCAGAAGGACCTGGGTCCACATCCTAACTCTACTATTCCCTCATCATATAAGTTTAGGCAAAAGTTTTGTGAGGTTCAGATGAGGTTTATAGGATTTGCAGAGAAAGATCTAGGTGAAGGATAACAAAAAATACATGATTCTTACAAATGTTACTGTGATTTTGGTATGCTATATTCTTTTCTGTTTTTATGAAATTTGAGTAACAAATTTTTAGCTATTTTGGATTTACTTCTATTTTTGGGACTAGGTTTCTTTGATCAAGCCAATGAGTCCAAACTTTACAAGGTGTTCTTCTTTTATTTCAAAATAACTTAAAATAACTTTGTTAAATAGAAAGAAGCAAATAAAGTGAAAGAGGAAGAGAGAATGAAGGAAGAAAAGGAAGGAAGGGAGGGAGGAAGGGAAGAAGGGAAAAATAGAAACATTATTGAGCATTATGGCAACATGCTTTTTGGCAACATCACCAAGAAAATTGCAATTCCCTTAGCAATTGGAAACCTACACACTCCTCAGGTTATTTTAGAAAATTTAAAGCAGCACACACATTAACATTTTCTTGCCATTAACTAATAAACACTGAATATCCCAAATCACATTTTGCTTGTTTTAGGCCCAAACAAAGGGGCACTGGACAATTGCATTTATGACATAAAGTAATGCTTTCATAGTAGCCACTGTGTGTATTTACTTATGAATATTCCACTGGAGTTAATTAGGACATCTTGTTTGGATTGATACTGTTGAGAATTATACATAGAGACACTATCCATGAATTCTGACTTCAGATTTTCTTTGCTTGGAATTAAAAAATTTAATTTTGTTTTCCTTTAATATATACTCCTTGAAAGCCAGAGGCCTTCAAAGGGTACTAATGAGTTCTTTTCTCAATTAACAGTTTTAAATCTAAATATTTTTCTTCTTTTCTATTTAACTTACCAATACGCTCAGAATTTTATTTGTTGCTACTGTGCTCAGCATTTCAGTTGATGTCCACATGCTTTTGGGGGCATTTTTTTCAACTAAATAGAATGAAATGTCCTATCAATAAATGAAAGTATTTACAAACAGAAAATGTGGAAAGGGATATATTTCCTTAGATTCTACTTCAGGGCATCTGTCTCCTTCTTTTAGTGAATCTAGACCTAAAGCTAATGAAGACTTAACATTACACTTTTTCAAATGATATATAAATTTTTAATGTTTAAAGCAATAGAAAAGATCACAAAGGGAAAAGAAGTCAATTTTAGTAAGAGAAAAATAATAAACATCAAAATGAACATTTATAATATTTAAAGAATTACTATCTTTACTATGTTATACACAAACACACGCACATTAAGGGAAAAATGAACAATGAACACCAAAAGATAATCCCCCCAAAATGAAATAAAAATGGTTAATGAACATATGAACAAAGTCCAACTCAGTAAAATTAAGAAATGCAATAAAACCATGACTTTTTTCCTCCAATCAGATTAACAAAAATGAGAACAGGTAATATTAAGGGTTAGCAAGAGTGCAGTAAAATAGTCTCTGCTGAACACTGGTGGGAGGAAAATTCAGTTAAATAATTTGGGATAGGTAATTCTCAACTATATACTAAGAGCCTTAAATTGTTCATATTATTTCATTATACCTAGCAAATTCCTCCTAATGAATTAACTTGTAAATAAATATGGGGACTTTTTATGGATATTATAGGAAATTATGTATACTAAAAACATGGGATAGCATAATACATAGTATATAAAATACAATAATATATTCTATTGTTATAGAGCATAAAATATAATAGTATAAAGAGTTAAATGAACAATGACTTAGTCATATAAATTTTGAAATTGATAAAATGTTAAATATAGAATTTAAGACATATTTGAAGATATAACATAATCAGAGGTTTTATTTCCATATAATAAATGAAATAAGTTAAAACATAATCTTCAGTCATGAAATTATTAAAATGTTTGCTTATCTCAATTTTTATGCTGAATTGTTTTTACAATTTAAAATATAAAATGGCAAATATAGAAATTATAAAAGCCTACATTTTTAGAGGAAAGAGAAATCACTTTTACCATTAATATCTAAGCTTCCATTGCACAGTCGGCATGTGAAAATTTCTCAACTCCAGCAATACATGATTGTTAGTTGCATCTTGTCCCCAATTACGCACTGTTCTGTTAAACCCAGATCCTACATTGACCAGAATTTCTGTCACCTATGATTTCATTCCAGTTTCTTTTTATTGTATTTTTGCCATCTTTAGGAAAATTAAAATATCTTAATTCCATTTTTACAGTAAACTACCTACATTCCTGAATGCACTTTGACCTGCAACATGACATCACAGGCACTAGATTCCATGAATCTAATTATATAGAAATAGTTTGTTATACAGAAATTACCCTGAAATAGATAACTAGGTCAGAAATTGGTACTAAAACTTGCGTGGGACAGTAACACAGACCCAGAACACAAAGCATTAGTTTTGAGACAAGGTGGCAGGTGGAGGACAGGACAGCAAGGACACCGTCGGAGGAGACAGACACAAGGGTAAGGACGCTGTTTCAGAGGCCTTATGCGGACAAGAGAACTCATGGGAATTATCATCAGAACAATTAGCCTGACCACAGCCTGCAATGGGAAGATGGAAAGTACACCTATAAACCTGTGGATCTGGCTAAGCGGGTTTCCAAGCAAACAATTGACAATGTTACTTGTCACCTTTTAACCACATATAACATTATATTGAAGCGAAAATTGAGGTAAAGAAAAGAAGAGTTCATTCTCCAAGTATAATTTAAAGGATATATTTCCAACTCAGAATTTGCTGATTTAGAAAATAAAAGTTTCACATTTACAGTATTGTCAGCGGGCAAAAGATTCCCTAGTTAAGACACTGTCTCTACGAAAAGATCACATTCAGAATGCTGTCTGCAAGTCAAGATCAAATCAACGATGTAGCTCTAAGACATACTGTTAGGGTCTCAGAAAGGTTTCAGAGGCTTTCTGAGCTATGTAAGAGTTAGAACAATTTTAAAGATGTCCCATGGCATCCATTTTTACCCTTCATGCTAGAAAGAACAGCCTGTCTTGAAAAGATTTGTGGGTATGTATTTTATCCTTTAGATAGGGATGGAATTATAATTTGATACACAGAAATCAAGTAAAAATTTTTAAGAGTTGTAGCAGCTTGGAATATAAGGGACAGAAATAGTTCAGCCAGTAGCTTGGAACACCTTACTCTATTGCAAATTGCCTTTCAGCCTATTGCTAGCCTATACTGTTTAGTATTATTTTCAAATAAAAACAGCAATAAGAGAAAAATATAGCTAACATTTATTGATCAATCCTTAAACACTAAGCATTGTGCTAAGGATATTTTATAGAATATCTCATTTATGCCTAAAACCTCTGTGTTTTTAAACTGTACAAACATTTTGATCCACATCTAGATTTTTATCTGAAGAAACTTGTCAGAAATGGAGATTAAATATCTTTCTGCATGATGACCAGAATGGCCTCATTTATAAGAATAAAATCATGGAGAAGTCTCAAAGTCTAATAAAAGGGAGGTTAAATGAAGAATCTTTTGCATAATGGCTTATAATGTATCAATTAAAGCATATAAGTTAATGTAATTATTGCTTTCATTTTAAACATAAGAACACTATGGATCAGTGAGCTTGTTCTGTCTAAAGTCACACAGAGTTTGGCAGATGCAAGATTTCAGCCTAGGTATTATGACTTTAGAAGACCCATACCCAAACACTATAATATTGTGCTTTATTGGATCAAATTACAATTTATATAAGAAAATGAACCATACTAAAATATCTGTGCATTGAACAACTTCACTGTGCAATAGCACACATCCATCTTTTTATAAGATTTACATGGCTACATACTGGTAGAGATGACATGTACTCATTTCTGGGTATGCACTTCAGAGGAGGAGACTATGAACTTTTCACTTGTCCTTAGCCAGACTGGGAATTGCTGGGTCCCAGCTCCCATCATATTGCCTATTTCTGAAACAAGGAGCATTATCTGGGTTCCAGATGACAAAGAGAAAAAGGTCATAGGGGAATCTTTTATGTGAGGGAGGCCTTCGTGAAACCCAAGACAACCTGCTGTTGTCTGTTGAATAAGGCAGAGCTTTACCTGTGCTGTCTTCTATGTTTGCCTTTGCCACAAACTCACTTTATAATTTTAAATAAATGCCCATAGACTTTTCCTTTTGTTAAAAAAAGAAATAGAAAAATGATGAGACTGAAAAAAAAATCTACATTAATGAAGTGCTATAGCTGAGATCTGAGGCACATACAAAAGTAAAAAATCCTAAATCATGGTTCCCATAGCAACTGCAACACAGTTGGATTTCACTTTTATGTTAAGTAAGTTTAACTTGAGTGGGAATGCAAAATACTTCCTCTAAGCCAAAAAGAAAATCATGGAGTACATAGACATATTGGTCCAGATTCTCCTGGCTTTTGAGTATGTTAAATATGAACCCTAATATGTGTTAATATTTTCACACTGAAACTCTAAGTTCATTTATATTAATTTTAAACAATCATTATTCAATTTAAAAATATGATTATTTAAAAAGGGAAAAATCCCATTAAATCTATTAAATCAGAGGGCAAGACTTTATAATGTGAAAAGGCAGGGGCATAGTTCTACTTTTAATTACAAAAGAAAATTTAATGAAAGTACAATTGATGAAAACAGTCTGATTACATTCACTCTTAAGTGCTTCAAACATGACATTTTAAGTTATTGTAGATGTAATCTGAAACTATGAAAACAAACACATGGTACTTTGAGGAGAATGTATACATATAAATTTTCAAGACATTTTCATATCTTTCTCTATTCCAGTAACATTTTAAAAGGGCAGGAAGAGTACTTACTCCTTTTATGTAACGAGGTCTATATTGAATAGTTCCAAATAAACCAAGAATGACGATAATAATATGTACAAAATTTGCCAGGATAGGTGCCCACTGATATCCGAGGAAGTCAAATATTTGCCTCTCCAGCACACAAACCTAGAATAGCAAAATGGGATATATAGATGAGCACACTGATGAGAGAAAAAAAAGAAATGCATTGATACTATAATTAGCAATTGTAACAGAGTTACCATAACCAGCATTTGTCTTTAACAGTGATAATGATATTTTCAGGTATATTTCAAATGAAGTCTATGGGAGGCGTGGATCCATACACAATAACTGTCCCCTCAGGGATGAGTTTGTGGAGGCTTCAAGCAGCATTCACAGGATGTCATCTGTGCAGTCACAGGGTAAATTATATTGTCATACTGTTAAAAACTTGAACTCATCAACCAGAAAGTTCAGGAAGTCCACATGACAGGTTTGTCGTTAGTATCTGCTCAATGTCATTATACAAGGGAAAAGAACAAAGGGGATTGATATAGTTAAAAAAAAAAAAAAAAAAAAAAAAGGACATTCAAATCAAGAGACCAGGATTCTGCACATAGAGCTACCACTAAACAGCTGTAGTGACCTAGGCAAGTTGTTTCCTTTCTTTAGGGGTCTGATACTCATTTGTAAAATGCAGGACTCCAACTATCATCTAGGGTCCTTTTAACCCTAAGAGTATTGGATCATAAATCAAACATGACTTTTTGTCATACTCAGTTACCTATAGTTACCAGGTATAAGGAGGGCTGCAAAAGGAAATTAAAAATAGAATTAAATTTCCTTTCCAGTGGAAAAAAATAAAGCGTTACTGTTATAAAAGCAAGGAACTTAAGCCACTTCAAATTCTCCTGGATTCACCTGTGCTTACAATTTTACAATTAAGGTATATGTAAGAATCTAAGCAGTGAGAAGAGAAATACAAATCAACCAACCAAATAACCAAAGAATAAAAAATAAAGCTAAGATTGATTCATACTCCTGAAGTGTCATTTTATATTGAAAGGAGAAACCTGCACAGCTGGCAAGTCTCTCTTCAGATCTAACGAAGCAAGGAGGGCTGGCGTGAGTTAAACCCCTTTATTCCTCCTGTCTGCGATAGTGCACTGTCTGTTCAGAGTAAAACATTGTGAAAGGACCTGATGTTCCAAACAAAGATCTGACAATTTTTTCTCACTCAGGGTTTAAAGGACAATTATTTTAAAACCCCTAATTTACTAACATCACTATGCTTTAAAGTTATTTCTTGTCAGAAGGACATACTAACTCTTGAAACAGACAGTGGACTTTTAAATTAAATACGTGTAGCTCAGTTTGAAGACTTCTTGAATCATCATCATTTGCACTGCCTTTCTTTAGCTGAATAGCACATTTTTCCATCAGGGACTGAAAGAGAAAATAAGCTCGTGGCAGCTATTTGCATAACACCTGTATTTCCTAAGACACATTGGGTACCATTGCAACGATTGTAACAATAACTGTTTTGCCTAGTCAAATCTTCATTTTCAGTGCATGGGTTTGGATTTATGGCAGACCGTACCCCTGGGTCTCTTACAGTGCCCCATGCCAGAACAAACTGTGGCCTCCAACCATTGCCTGGCTTCTGCCCATAGGCTGCAGGCATACACTTGGCTACACAGTGGAAAAAAATCTTTATTTTCACTTAGTCATGGCAGTGGTTACAAAAAGAGAATCTAGGTTGTTCTACCCTTCATATTGTAAACCCACAATTCCCAACAGTCTCAGCAGTGGAATGAAATATTCTGATTGATTAATAAACTGACTGTCATTGAAGTTGCACATAACCCCAGACTCCTAAGCCTTGAACTGCCTTCTGATGAAACATTCCTTCAACTGTTACCATGCAGTCGATGCTTTATATAGAGGAGGCTCACTGTGATGTTAGGCGGTGTTACGTGTGCCTTGCTAGAATGCATCTATGGCATTGAAAATGGGTGGTTATTCTCAGAACGCCATTGCTAATCATCTAGGTAAAAGCTCACGCTAACAGAGATTTCTCTTATTCTTATCCTATGAATAAACAGTAAGTAGGAATGTAAAACATCAGCAAGAAGAATCTAAACTCTATAAATTTTGAGCGTAATAACTATGGTGACACAACAGGGAAAAAGCACAGAGGATGAGGTTCATCCATCAAACGGTGGGTAATCTCCCAATAAAATGTTCAATTATGGAAGAAAATAGCAGTGCCATCATTAATTATAAAAATATATAGATGATAATATACTTGCTACAACCGCAAAGCTAAAATGAAGTTGCACCAACATTTATCAGCCTTTTTTTTATGACAGAACTAATAGTTTCATCAAACATTACTTATAAGTTTATGCAGACTGAGTAAATTAATGTGCAATTCTTCACTTACAATAGTTTTACATTTCTCCTCTTTTTGATTGGCCCTTTTAGCCATGATAAGTAGCTTTATCACAGATTGTGTAATTTAGAGATAGGACTGAAGAACGGACAATTTTCTGAAATATTCAGTGAGTATCAAGGGAATAATAATTTATAGAAGTAGTTATAGTTTTTTCTAACAATTCCTTCCAACAGGATGTGCATCAACTATGGAGTTATAGTGGGGGTTGGTGTGGGGTTGGAGGAAAGACAGAACAAATATTTGTTAAAACACATTATGTGCTGGGCATTTACACTATTTACAATTCACATATTAGCTCATTGATTTTGCACAAAACCCAGGAAGGTAAATATTATTGTTTTATTTTTCAGATTAAGAAATCTAAAAGGTGGTATGGGTAGGTGATTCGATTGAATCTGAGAAGTGGTAAGTAGGAGAAGAGAAACATAGGTCTGTGTGCACAGCCCTGTGCTCTGTCCCTACTTTTTGGACTCCAGCCACACCTAGTTCCAAAACAAAATGCTTTCACAGTTTATGTTGCAGACCTCTGCTAATTAAAGGATATATGCTACATTTTTGCCTTATCTGTTTAGTGTAGAGAATCTCTCTGATTACATTGGTCAGATCATGACATTAAATCATCATTGGTCAAGGCAAAGCTCTTTTTCTTGTTTGGTTTGTTCATTCTATTTTCTTATTTGCCCCTTTCAACACATGTTTTCAGCGTTATTTCCCTTTCTCTAATTATACCCTCGGTAATATACAGACTTTATGTCCTTTCAACCACCTGACTTACAAACATATGTATATGGCCTTGAAAAACATACACTGCTGTTGAGTGTGTGTGATGTTAATATAGAATATCTTATGGAATAAGTCTATTTCATGCTTATCTATTTTATTCTATATTTTGTTTCTGCATGTGTGTATTTCGTTTCTGCACATTAGCCTATTATAAACTCATAACTTGTTGCTTTTCACAAATATTTTGACATATATTTATTTTTTTCCCAATTTTTGGCTATAACACACATGAGTGCATTAAACAACCTTGTATCTGTATGTTGATATAATGATAGGTTATATCCCACAAAGTAGAAAAACTGGATCAAATTCTGATTGCAAAATGTTAAATATTATAACAACTGTTACTAATTCCTCTTTGATATATATGTATGTACTGGTAAAACATGAAATTAATGTTTTGCCTCATAGTGAATGTGAGTTTTAATTCCCTTTTGCATTATAGTAAATGTGAATTCTAATAGCTATTTTTCATCCAGTAGAATAGGCTTAAGCTAAAAAAGTCTTCAAAAATCTAATAAGTATGATTAAACAAAGTTTATCTTATCCTAAATGACAATGAAATTCATAACAAGTTCCTGCGAATTGTCGAGATAAAATAAATGTATTGACTTTTCAAACTAGAAGAGACTCCACACTCCTCAATTTATGCCTTAGAAACTGGGCCAACTAAGTTTGATGTCTTAATAGAAGAGAATTCAATTGGCAACAAGTTTGCTTCAAATATTTGCATTGTAAAGGGAAACTTTAGTATTTCCTAGTTTGTTGCCATTTAACTTTATTGAGAAAAAAATCACATGTACATGAACACATTAAACATTTTTTTAAGCCAAAATGGTACATTTATAGCTGGTTGTTTTTGAATGGTGGGAGAAAAATGGGTTTTCTTGAGACACTGCATTTTGCTAATAATAACCAAGATTTATTAATAATTTTTATTTCTAATATTATTATAATTTTCTTAAGTCTTTAAAATTTAATTTGTGACTTATTAAAAATAATGCAAAATAAATATACATGGCCTTTGAGATAAAAATAGTCTTTTTATTCTATCATGGTGGAACATGGATTTCTTGATTTTAAAAACATGAGAGTGTTATTAAAGGCTAGGAAACTAATTAAATTTTTAGTGCTAAATTATAAAATGAAATTATCTATGGACCCCCTTGTTATCGTCCTGTATGGTCCCCTTTTCAGTATCTTTACTCCCCTTCAGGAACCTGAGATTTCAGATTGTCTCAACATTCCAGCCTCTGAGGAAAGATGTAAGATAGACGCATATTCAGATGCCAAACCAGCCAAGTGTTCCTATCAAAGTCCGTTTTCATTGTCCAAGTGCACTGCAGGGAAATGACAAAGCTTGCCAAAACTTAATAAAATATAAATTGTGGGATTTCAGGGATTAATAAAGAAATGATTTGCATTTTAGTTGTTCGCAGTTTACTTTCCTAGCAAGTTAAATTAGCCTTGTTATAGCATAAAAAGCAGGAAATAGTAAGGAAAGTCAAGATGAACATTGACATGGGCAAAAAAGTTTCCAAAATAGGTCTGAAATTCTTATTTCACTCATAGGGCCCTTGGAACTTTAGACAAACTATAGGCAGACCCACAGTATGGCCATCTGTTTGTCAGAATTTAGTCAATAGAAGTTGCTGCTGACCTTTGTTTCTACATTCCAGTCAGGTATGCACAATTCATCATTTCCAGTGAAGCAGATAAGCAATCAGTTCTAGTACTGTCTCCTTGATCCATGTACGGCTCTGCTCCTTCAGTGAGACATTCCAGCCAGTGATCTTGCCTTGAATTCAATTTTCTCCTATACTTGACTAACTGGTGCAGCATTTTCTGTCTCTTTACTGTCTGCTCACTTTGGTAAAACCCGTGGATTTTAATCCTGAATATATTCTGGACCTGTCTGACTCCAGATTCAAAAAGGATGTGCCATGTTGGTTTCTGTTATTTTTAAGTCAATCTCCTGAAAAGCTTTAAAAACTAGAGGTATTTTGGGACTTTACAATATGGCTGAACTGCAGAGGGCTTTAATGTTCCCCCCTTAAGATTCTCTGTGTTGATCATAATGGACAAAATAAGTGAAAACATACATTCCAGCTTTAAAAATATGACATGTAGTTGATATACTAGAGACAATTTCTTTTCATCTTACCAAGAGGCCTGATTCATATATATGAAATGAAGAGAATAAACTTGAAGTAGGGTCTGCAATGATTATATATGTGAGGTATGGACAAAGCCAAACTTTGTCCATGGCTTTACTTGAAAAGTTTTAGATTCTTTTGAGTAACTGGAGTTATTCAGGTATGTGTGTGTGCACATGTGTGAGCATGCATGTGGCATGCTTGTGTGTATGTGGTTCATTAAAGGGAACAAAATAAAGTTGTAAGATTTTTGGTAAAGGCAGGCCACAAATAATACATCCTTGTTCAATTGAACCAAGGATTTTCTGTCTCTTTTTTCTCATAATTTTTTCTTTTAAAAAGCAAAACAAAGAAAGAAGCTACAATAACAAACAACAAAAACACCACCAAAAAGGGATCTGGCCCTAATGGCTTGGATTATAATAGAAATCAACATGCCACAGTGGTTCAGAACCCCAGTTTTAAAATGAGACAATTCTGCTGGAATTCTAACTCGCTCTGTGACCACAGGAGGTTCCCTTACCTTTCTAAAGCCTGTTTCTTCATCTATATAATGGGGAAATTGTAATGCATAGCTCCTATGATCTTCATAAAGATTAAAGTGATAATGTATATGGAGTGCCTGTTTACGTGCCTAGGTTGCATCTTAAGGTGGCTCCTATTATTAATTAATATGTTGACAATGCATAACACATTCGGACACTGGCATTTCAGTACAAATACCATCCTAGATTGATACTCATGCCAGAATATCTCAGAGAGAATCAAATGTTTCATATTCTACTGGTCATAAATATAAATAATAACATGGCAGACATGGATAACTTGTTTACTCAAAAAGGGGATTTTTATTAATGAATATTTTATTTTCTGATTCAATAACCCATGTATCTAATCTATTATGATACTATGATAAAAATTAGGTTTAAAACATCATCATTTTCTGTGTAATTTTCCTTCACTTTCCTCACTTTTCAAATGTAATAAATATCAACATTTATTTAAAAATCTCTGTCTCCAGATAAAGTTAAGCACAGTAAAGATTTTCAATAAAATATTGGGGAAGATTTGGCATAAGCTCCTAGGAACTAAACAAAACTAAGTATTTATATTTCTTACATTTTCTTATAAGCTGCATTACTGACACACAGTACATGAAATTTTTAACAGATCTGTGTGAAAACACAGTGTCAGTCACATAATTCTGAGGTTGAATTAATAATGTTATTTAATTGACCCATATATGAGTCAAAGTATATTTTAGGAATTTTCTTTCTATTTTTGTACAATAGTGCCAATTCTATA